TATAAATATATTATCACAAAATTTTAAACGTTTAATTTTTTTATTAATTGTTAATTTATATTTTACTGTCTAAATTATGGCACCCCTCACTTTAATCGATAAAACGTTGTAGCTTTTTAAAGGAATTTGTTTTTTTATTTCCCAACCTTAACAAAGTTAGATGTTTGATTTTGTTATCAAAAAAAAAAAGGTTAGATGTTTGATTTTTGTAATATTTTTTACAATTTCAAGATTTTTAAAAAGAAGACTGTGTTTGTTGTTGGTTCGAAAAGAACTTGGAGATTTTTGGGTTTAAACGCTCTTATAATACCATTGTTGCAAATTTTGAACTGTGTTTGTGAGAGATAAAATATGTCAAATGAGGAGTCATTGCGTAAATCTCAAAAAGTTATGTATAATCAAAAAAAATTATCTGATTCAGATATCTCAATCAAAAGTTATGACCTTTCAAAGTTTTACAGTTCGTAAGTTGACTTTTTTGTGTCAAATATCAACACCAGACGAGTCATGCCTAAATTAGGCGTGAATACCTACTCAATCATGCCTAACTTAGGCACGAATGACCATGCCCAATTTGGATGTGAACAAATGCAATGAGTCGTAAATAATTGCGAAACAACTATATATTCGTAATTATTTATTGAAATAATAATGTTTTTTTTTTGCCGTATAAGATTTTATATAATTATTAGTATAATTAAATTAATTAAAAATGAGTATAAGATCGTTGAAGGTGAGATATGAAATGAGAATGACGTGTTATCCAAAAAAAAGAGAGGAAATGAGATGACGCTCCTGTCATAGAAAAGGACAAAAATAAATAATAAATAAAAGGAAAGATTTGAAAAGAGTTGGAAGCGGGATTGGAACACGTGGCAGCTATCCGTTATTCGACCGTTGTAGAAAGAAAGCTATTGTTGTTAATGAAGAAGAGAAGCTGGTTCATTCTATTCTATGTTCATTCTCCACCAATAAACCATTTTTGGAAATCTCTCTCTCTCTCTCTCTCTCTCTCTGTCCATCGCGCTGCGCTCACATGGCGATTGCAACAGAGAATCAACCTCAACCTCAACCTCAACAGCACAAGGTAAATCAATCCACAACATTCCTCTCTCTCTCTTTATTTTCTCACAATCTACTTCTCAAACTAGGGTTTTCAATTCCCCCCCTCCTTTTGCTTCAATCGTTAAAGCCTCTTTTTATTTATCTGATTGAATTCGATAATTGTAACTATCTTTTTATTTATCTGATTGAATTCGATAATTGTAACTATCTCCTTCTTGAATTTTGAATTTGTCATTGTTGAGGTTCGTCAATCTCCGGATATTGACGAAGCAAGCGTGAAATTAATTTGTCTTCTTCTTCCGAATTTCGCTAAAACTTCTTGTTTTCTTAACAATTAGCCATGAGTTTTAAACCTAAGGGTTTGAAGAGCCTGGCCAGGGACGTTGTTTTTCTAAATTGAACGGTTTTTGAAGTATTAATTCATCGGCAACAAGATTTGGTGATAGTCTTCTAGGTTCAAGATATCTTGGTTCTCATTGTTTCATCCTTCGTTTTGTCAGGCTTCTTCGGAGGTTTCAGGTTCAGCTATGGAGCAAAGAAGGTGGACCCTTAATGATTTTGATATTGGAAAACCTCTTGGAAGGGGGAAATTTGGCCACGTCTATTTGGCCAGAGAAAAGAGAGTCAGTTTTTTTCTTCTCTTTCCTCAATTATTTGCTGCTTTTCCCAACTAATACTAATTTTATGCCTGGAATTTTGTTGTTGTTGTTCATGTCGTTTAGGAGGGTGTATTTTTCTGATAATGAATAGTTCATAACTGTGCTAATTTCATTCCCTTCTTGATTTACCTTAGACTGTTGTGTGGGGAATAGTTATGCTTAGTTGCTTTAACAAGATTTGTTTGGAATTTTTTTATTTTTTTCACAAATTTCACATTGAGGATTTGAATGCAAAGCCATTGCATTACATGCACTGAATCACAGGCTGCTAATTTGAATATTATTGATTTGTATACATGAAATGGTTATAATATATTACTGTTCTGAAATGGTTATAATACATTACTGTTGATCTGTACCGTTGGTTTCTTCACCTTCTTGTCTTAATATTTTCATTTTAATGTGAAATGTGATTCTGATACAGAGTAATCATATTGTTGCTCTGAAAGTGCTCTTTAAGAGCCAATTGCAACAATCCCAAGTTGAGCATCAGCTTCGGCGAGAAGTTGAAATACAAAGTCATCTCCGACATCCCCACATCTTACGCCTTTATGGATACTTTTATGATCAGGTATACTTCTTGAGTTCTTGTTTATGCTGATATCTTTAGAATCTGTCCATGTATTGCTGAAGAGGGTTAAATACGCTGCTATTTACATTTTCTGTGTGAAATAACTTCATTGCAGAAACGAGTTTATTTGATTTTAGAGTATGCACCCAAAGGTGAACTTTACAAGGAGTTACAGAAATGCAAATATTTCAGTGAAAGGCGTGCAGCTACTGTAAGTATATATCTATATCATACAGCAGTGCTCATTCTCTCTATATCTCTCTTCTCCCCATATGTTTTTGTTTGTGAATTACTGAAGTCCAGCTTGGCTGATGTATATTTTTTTTTTTGCGCAATTTGTATTAAGATATTAAGAAGCAAATAAATACTGAAAAATAATGTGATAGCACATCTTACTTAAGTAAAATAAGTTGATTAGTCGTGTGTGCTAGTTCAGGGGCAGAAGTCCTGTGTTTGTCAGGCTACATGCTTTAATGTTTCACTTGAACATTCTTCTGAGATTGACGAGTTAATGTTACTGTTTTGTGGTTGAGGCAGTATGTTGCATCATTGGCCCGAGCCCTTATATATTGCCATGGAAAGCATGTAATACATAGGGACATTAAACCGGAGAACCTTCTAATTGGCGCACAGGTGATCTCCTATACCTTCTTTTGGTGCTTTTGTTTGCTTTTTCCACCTCATGCTTATTATGTCAACATCTTTTTCATTATCAGGGTGAACTTAAGATAGCAGACTTTGGATGGTCGGTGCACACATTCAATCGCAGGCGGACCATGTGTGGCACACTGGATTACCTTCCTCCTGAGATGGGTATGTTTATGTCACATGAATCACTCTTTTAAATATTTTATATGTTATTCTCTCCATAGATGATGCACCACTATATTTCTTCTAAACATTTTTGAGGTTTCAACAGTGGAGAGTGTTGAACATGATGCGAGTGTGGATATATGGAGCCTTGGGGTCCTGTGCTACGAGTTTCTTTATGGAGTCCCTCCTTTTGAGGCTAAAGAGCATTCTGATACTTATAGGAGGTAAGCACTAAAGCAGTTGAATATATATTAGCATTTGCAATATGCATGGGCTCTGTTTTGTATCTTCCCACGCTAAAGGGGCTAACGGTAATTACAAGGACGAAACAATTTAAACGGACTTGGGTGCTACTGGCTATACTGTGCTTCATGCTACTTTCTGTGCGTGGCGTCTTTTTATTTTAAACTTCAACATTCTGATATATATTGCAGGATAGTACAAGTGGATCTCAAGTTCCCTCCTAAACCAATTGTATCTTCCACTGCAAAGGACCTCATCAGTCAGGTAAAGTCTAGTGCAAAATTTTATTTTATTTTTTGTGAAATTCTCTAATGGAAGGAATTACCTTCCACCAGATATTTATTTGTTAAGCATTTGCCTGAGTAATCCTTTTCCTCTGTTCTTTTTTACTAACAGATGCTGGTTAAGGATTCCTCTCAACGTCTACCTTTGTACAAACTCCTCGAACACCCTTGGATTGTTCAGAATGCGGAGCCCTCCGGTGTATATAGGGGCTAGTGTACCTCGTCAATTTTTTATTCCTTAATCGTGGAAATCATCAGAATAGCAGCTTCTTCAAAGTATAACTTGCGTTGAGAGATGATGCAAACTAACTATTTGAAGAATTTGCTAGGTTAAGAGAAGATTTGTATTAAAAACTTGAAAGCATTTGGTTGACAGATACGCTTATTGGATCCGTATTTGACAAAAGTATTTGGTTGAGAGATCAATACACCACATCCTTTCGCACACATTCTTATCCCTAACTAGATGTCACTTATTATTTGATTGTAAACCCTGCAGGGAAGACACTTGAATAACTGATTCGTTAGATCCAAGTTTATATATATTATTTTCTTAGAGTCTTGTTTCTGCGGTAGATCTGCAAGTTTGAGCATACACACTTACGCAGAAAGTTTAAAAAAAGAAGAAGGAAAAAAAGGGGTATTTGATGCACGCGGTCGTACACAGAGGTTTAACGGTTACTTGCACAAGCACCGACTATCCCACGAGGGGAAAAATTCTCAGTAGGATTGCGATCGAACTGTCAATGGTTGTTAAAAAAATTAGAAAACCGACCAATTACAATCACACATTGGGATAATTTAGAAGTTAATATTTAGCTACTTTTTTCTCAAAACCTTATACCGCAGTAGTTATGACGTATTCAAGTACCTAATTGAGTGGAATGGTAATCAAGCTAAGCTCCCTGTAGGGATAACCTAACTGGACTTCTGCTTCGTAGAATATGAGATAATACACCCAAAAACCCTAAAAGTAGTAATGAAATATTCAAGTACCTAATTGACTGGAATGGTAATCAAGCTAAGTTATCCCTGTCAAAAAGAGAAGAAGAATCCAAGTTAGGTTGTCATTGTCAATTGTAACTTAACTAAAGGCTTCTGCTTCGTAGAATATGAGATAAAAATCCAACTTGAACCCAAATAAAATAGCTCCTCAAACTCGAACTTTATCATAAAAATCCATGACTATGATTACGCAGATTTTATTGAAAAGGAAAAAACAAGCATAGCTTATTCCGTTAATCCTACGAAGCTACATCTAATCAGTCCAAATTAGATGCACCCGAATATTTTAAAAATAAGTCAAACCATTCAACAAACACTAATGCATACATATAATCAAAAACATGTTCACTTCATTCCAGCAAAACTGAGTATAGATAGAAACTCAAGTCACTAGCTATCACATTACCAAAAACATAAAACGGAAAAAAACTAGCCCTTTGACACAACTCGTTTTCAGAACATTATTCCGTTTCATTCTTGACCTGAGGCTAAAGATTCAACATAATCCTGTGAATACTATGGTCATGTTACAGGGTAGTCTTGACAAAAAGACGTACCAACTTGCAATATACATGGAAAAGGACAAATAGAACTACTTCGGTCTAAAGCATAACACCAAATACAGTTCAGATCAACAATCCTGTATCTAATTTTCTGTCTTTATACCATTGTCAGCATGGTTTCCTGATTCTTGTTCATCTTTGAAATTGTCCCCTTCTAACAACTGAGTGGGAGGTTGTCCTGCTTTCTCGGCTTCATCAACATCATTGCAATTTTCCTCTTCTAACCACTGAGTGGGAGGTTGTTCTGCTTTCTCGGTTTCATCATCACCATTGCAATTTTCCGCTTCTAACAACTGAGTCGGAGGTTGTTCTGCTTTCTTGGCTTCATCAGCATCTTTGGGGTTCAAAAAGCTAGGCTGGTTGGTTGAAGAAAGGAGTCTTGCCCACATCCTGTCAGTAATTACAACCTTGTTCTGCCTCTCAATGATTCTCTGGGTATCCAAATTTCAGCACACATTCTCCATTGTCAGAACAATTCTGATCTTGGGGGAATACAAATCATTAATATAAAATTGGAGAAGTAATAGAATACAAATAGGCGTGGTGCTTTTGTTCGTATGCTTGTGTGGTGAAAACATAAAACAAACTTGATGTATATAGCTATATCATTCTTCCCCCTCCATGAAACTAGCATATACCTTTGCATTCATTGTATACAAGCAGTGGATATAAAACTAAAACAAAAAATTATTGTACCCAAAAATTAAAAAAGGAGAAATAGATTATAAAAAAATTCAGAATTTGTGTAAGGATATGTAGTAACTTACGTTGAACGGAATATAAGTATGTCTGCCATTGACCAGACCAATTGTGAATCCAGTATACCCTGCCATTGCACCATGAACTGCACTCTGAGCAAGAAGTGTGCAGTAGACATTGTCTGATGCATTGCTTGGAATTGCCCGGATCATGTAAGTTGGATCTGACAGATAACTCAGTTAAAAATTTTAGACATAATTGTGTAGGTCAAATTTAAAAAACCCCTTATTCCCAAATAAAACTGGATGATCAAATAAGATATAAATATATCATAAGGGAAGAGGATGCCATTAGAGAAACTGACCTATATATTTAAGATTGATAGGCATCTTATTTTTCCTTGCAAAATGATCCTATTACAGCATGACGAATGTTTATTAAAAGGGAGAGAGAGTTGGAAAAATTGACTGATTTAGCTAGAAAGACTTCTTAACATAAACTTCACAGGAAGTAAATATAAAAAAACTTGATAAACAATATGCATCTATATACAACTAGTACTAAGTTAAGACTTTGAGGAATATTGATGAATGGCGAGAATTTTACAGATGGTCATGGATATGCACAGTAATCATAGTGCTGAGGAAATAAAATCAGGAGAGAACTCAAAAAGTTAGGCGAATGACACTTATAATAATTTTCTTAGTTATTTTCATATTTTCTATCAGTTCAACAATTCTGTATTTTAAAAAATGGGATGCTTTTGAAATTGCACCCATATTTTTATGTACTGTTATATGCATTGAGTGGCATTAAGAGTTATTTGATATTTACTAAAAGTGGATGCTGGATACATAAAATCAGAAGGAAAAAAAATATTGTTAATCAAACTAACAAAGTTTTCCGTTTAATTAGTTGACAACTTAACAATATGTAGTGTGATAAAGTATAGATTACAAGGTGACGTGTCTGACCACCAGGGGCTGTGGCTCAGGAATAAAAGAACTAGCGTCTACAAAGTTTAGAGGCCAGGTACCAGAAATATCAAATATTCTGATACCAAGAAGTCCAAATAAGATTTTTGTGCTCAGCCTTAGGTGGAGTTTGGATTAGGTTATGAGCGACTGTCTTTAAGGGGGTGAGAACAGGTCTCATGAAGGTCCAAATCAATCAAATGAATCTTATCTAAGCACTATCTAACCAGTTAATCTGAAATTGGCAAGATCACTCTAGCATTTAATTCATTAGAGACGTACAACTAGGCAAGCAGTATTATACTACACAAATTTCTGAGGAAAAGAATTGCGTTTTAAGAATCTTCTCATGCACAAGTTAATACCTTGATCTTATGAGATATCCATAAACCAACGTCTTGAAGTAGCTTGTTTCCGGAAGCATCCTTCTGGTCAATGGCTTGCATGCTTTCTGTAAAAAGATCTTGTCCTGCTCCCTCAGCTATGACTATAACCATATGTCCATTTTCTTTCAGCCTTTTCTCAATAAATTCAAAAAGTCCACCCTTTCCTTCAAGGTAGAAGGGTGACTCTGGAATCAAGCAACAGTCCACATCTCTGTTAGCAAGAGTAGCATACATTGCAATAAAACCTGCAGTCATAGTATCTATTATAACGCAGGAAAAACAAAGCAGTCTGATTTGAAGAGATCTTACAGTGAAACATTTTAATCATTTACATTTGAATTGACTTACAAGATAGGGTTTAACTAATCTGAATTAGAGGCCTATACTATATCAAACATAAATGTGAAGTTTGCATACCACTATAACGTCCCATTAGCTTTACAACACCAATGCCATTCTCAATACTTTCAGATTCAACGTGTGCTGCATTAATGGCGCGTTGAGCCTCCTCAACCGCAGTATCAAAACCAAAGGACTTGTCAATAACCTAAGGAAAAAGAAGAAAATCCACGTGATGCTTCTTCGAACATAGATAATTGACCCTCGAGATGTATTTTAAATGACAAGATTAGATTTCTTGATGAACAAATTTTGGATATTTTGATCAATCATACCGGGATGTCATTATCGATGGTTTTAGGAATTCCAGCAATTGCTACTTTCAAACCTCGCCGTCTAATTTCCTGTATGATTACCAAAATCATCAGAATGCTTAATCAAAAGAAGCCAAGTAAGATAACATGTCAATCACAGTTCTACTTTTAAAATTTATGCAAACAAATTTTTTCAGTAACATCATGTGCTTCCCAGCTGTCCATTGAAACTACCATCAAGCTTGACCTAGCCAAAATAGGCAGTAGTGCACCATACAAACTACATTTTTGGAAATCAACATAATGTAATATGCTTGGTTGCTGCGATTGCGTTTTGAAATTTTCATCATTACATTATCAGCAAATGGAAGGCATTTAAAGTTTAAGGTATTCAGAATCTATTGAATTTGCACTTGAAGCCATGGGCCAACAATTGCCACTCCAACCACATTTACACTTGAAATATAAATTATCATCACTTATACTGTTTTGGAAAGAGAGGATAAGAAAGAAAAGGACTTGCAAATATAAGAATACGAAAAACACGCATACAAATTAAAATTGCAGTTTCCGAAAGACACTTCTTAACAACTTTGATCAAACTTGGAAAAATAAAAGACATGAATGTGATACTTGTCGACAATTTGTTTATAAGTCTATAAATTATCATTTGAAATTAATTTATCTGTACTATCTCTATGTGGGCTTGCAATAAGGATAAACATATGAAAGCTTATGAAATGTTTCTTGACTGAGATACAGAAGGAAAATTAAATTTGGAGCACCTGATAAGTTGAGAATAAATAAAACTAGTTTCTTAAAACATAAGAAAGCAATTTAACAAATAAACAAATATAAACTATGCACAAATGTGGATTCGTAATCTAGAAATGGCATATACTAAACATATTCCTTCTTTGAATGAAGACTCTTATATTTCTTATTGGAGACCAAAGGGAGGAACATTTTATTATGACAACCTTTGAATCACTATTTGAATTGCTATACCTCATAAATCACAGCCGCTCCTCTCTGCGTTCCATCTCCTCCAATAATATAAACCTGTAACCATAACCCAAACAATGAAAACCCATGCCATAACAATAACCTACTAAGGTTTAATTACATTGATATAACAAACTTTAAATTTATAATTCCAACACTCATCATCATTGGAAACTTCATTAGAATACAGTAGACACATAGTAAACCTGATTAATTCCTCGATCCTGGATGCTGTCAACTATCTTTCCAGTATCATGACCTCCGCGTGATGTCCCAAGAATCGTACCCCCACGCTTATGGATGTCATTGACCACCTTAGGTGTTAAAGTAATAGTGTTCTTGGAATAAAAACCTCTATAACCACCCTGAGTAACATTGGATAAAATTTAGTGGTGAAAATAATGAATCTAGAAGTGCAACTCAAGTTATAAGACCAAAGTGAAGAGAAAATTAACTTCATGAAACCCAAAATTTTGTTCAGTCTAACTCGTATCAAAAGGAAGTTTTCATTAAACACTGGCATTTACTTGTCAGAGCTACCTTTGTCTCACTTAAACGCTACATCACATTTTTACCTTCATGATGGTGTCTTTTAAAGTTGAATGCCAAAATACAGGATTTATCTTCCTTCCCAATTACTTTAATGCTGTTATAGCAGCAAGTCAGCTATCCCTCACCAGAGTCATGTTTCATTCACATATGTTTACCATGATGGCAAGAATCAATTAAGAAAAAAGTTCATAACTTGTTGCATAGGTCATCAAGATTTCAAAATAAACATTGATTGTTTTGTTGGAAGAAATTTCGAACCTGAGTGATCAGATTTTACTCACAACAGCAACTCAAAGTTAATTTACAGATCGAAAGTGATAAAGACAATCCAAGCATCTATGAGAACTTGAACTTGCTTGAAACGAACATAAAGGCAATCAGATGTGTCTAAAAACATGTAATTAATTCAAAAGGTTGAAACTTAAACTACGTTTGTCTATTCTGTAAAGCCTTTCCGAAAAGGAAATTTGGAATACAATCCAAGTTTATAAACTAGCATCAAGAACATACTTCCAGCTTTGGAGTCTGATTTAATTGAATTCGCAGAGAAAAATCCATGCAATTTGATTTATGATAATGAAATAAAATATACACACACAAAGAAATCAGGGACAAAGAGAAGTATATACAGCAATGTGTAGGCTTTCTGATACAATTCAGATCAAACGATACAAAAGGGATAAAGAGAGGAAGGTGTGGGGTCAAGCCCAAGCCCAAAAGACTCAATATAGCCCAATCAAGTAAACAAGCATGCAAGGCAATAGAGTTGCCACGTCAGCAAGAGAGTACCCAAAATACCCCGTAACAGAATGGGGAGCGTGGAAGGCAGTTATAAAGGGAAGAGGAGAAGGGGAGAAGAATCTGGTAAAGGCCCTTATTGGGATTGGGAGAGTGTGCAACCTCTATAATTGTTGCACAATTATCTTTAGCTTATTGTTGTTTACTTTTCAGTGAAATCTCTGTAATGAAGTGAAGCTTGACTCCATAGTTGAGTAAGCTGAGTTATTGTAATCTATGAAGCACCGACACTTCAAAAATCCTGACGTGTCGTGTCCGACACTTCCCGACACTCTCGGACACTCCGACACTCTCCGACACTCCAACACGTGTTATAGAAATTAAAAAAAAAGGTTCAAATGTTGCGTTGCGTTGAAATTTTAGTTTCAATTATTAGATTCGTTGAATTACGATTACCTTTTTATTGAGTTTAATATAAATATTTGGGATATTTTATGTTTCTTTTCAAAATTTATGAATAATATAAGTTTAGATTTATTTTTTTTGTTAAATTATTAAATATTACATACAATATATATTACATAAATTAAATTTTTTATGTAATATCAAAACGTCTCCTAACGTGTCGAAATCTTACATTTTTTAGAATTAACGTGTCGGAGTGTCGTGTCGTATCATGTCACGTGTCTCGTGTCCGTATCGGTGCTACATAGATTGTAATTTCCTTTTAATCAATATATAAGAAGAAAACTGATGTTATTCAGGAAAATCTTTACTGTTTGTTATAATTGTTGATAAATGGAAAGAGGTCTGTATCAAATTGGTATCAGAGCTCCGATCTAGGAGCTCTGTGGGATGGTTTGGACACGACAAATGGAGCACCGATTAGATTTAGTAGAGGAAGGACTACGACGAGGATGTGCTAGACAAGAAGAAGTGTTGATACGGCTTGATGAAAACGACGCTAGACAACAAGAAGTAATCCAGCGTTTGGTAGCTAATGAAAGGGGAATGGCAGAGATCATCATAAGGCTGGATGAGTTGGCTGGAAGAAGACGAAATCCATCATATGATGGCGAGAACCACCACGAAGACAGCGTGTCTGGTCAGCCCGATGGAAGAAATGGAAGGAGGGTCAACATGGGTCACCATGTAAACAGGCGTTTGGAGATCCCCATTTTCATCGGGGAAGATGCGTTCGGGTGGCTAAGCAAAGTGGAAAGCTACTTCGTAGTGAACGGAGTGGAAGAGACGGAGAAATTGGCGACCGTGTTGGTGGTTTTAGAAGGAGAAGCCCTTCACTGGTTTCAGTGGTGGGAAGCCAGTAACCAAAACGCTACTTGGGGAATGTTCCGTCGCGAGTTGCTCAGCCGCTTTCAACCGGAGATGTTGGATAATACATATCGTGCGCTGTACACGTTAAAACAGAGTGTGAGCATCTCTGAGTTTAGAGCAGAATTTGAAAAAATAATCAGCACCCTACGATTTGAAGACGAAGAATTGCTCAAGGGAGCCTGGTTGAATGGAGTTCGTAGCAGCATACGAGCGGAGCTGGTGATGTCGCCGCTGTTATCCTTGACGGAGATGATGAAGTTTGCGGTCAAGATCGAAAGAAGAAATGACGCATGGAGAGAAGAAGGATTGGGGCCGATTAGGAGAGGATAGACAATGGGGAGCAACCGTGGGCCGTTTAATCAAAGAATTGGGGCCAATTCAGGTGATAATAGATATTGGGCCTCAGCCAATACAGGCCCAAACCATCCATTACACTCAGCCAAGTCAGGAACGGGGTCTAACGCAGCTCAGATGAATCAACACAACTCACGAACCACTGTACCAGAAAACCCTAAGGAGGGGATGACCACCAGAGCTTCAACGTCGACCACCGGAGGACCGACACCGGAAAATCAAACGTTCCCAGGACGGAGGTTGTCGCAGGCGGAATGGCGCGACAGGCAAAATCGGGGTTTGTGCTTCAAATGCAAGGAACGTTGGCATCCAACCCATCGATGCAAAATCCGACAGTTGCATGTGCTCTTGGTGGAGGACGATGACGAAGCAGAGGGTGATACCAAGGAAGACGACCCAGTTACGTTACCAACCCCAGAGACTAGCGAACAAGAACAGGGCTTGCAGCTTTCGCTACAAAGTCTTTTAGGGCTCACTTCAAACCAAACTCTGATGGTGTGGGGAGAGATAGGCGACCAGAAGGTGATGGTGATGGTCGATTGTGGTGCTTCGAGCAATTTTATCAAGAAAAAATTGGCAGAACAACTGGGACTGGAGATTCGTGAAACTCCTGTATATCAAGTGAAGATTGGGAATGGGTCTAAGGTTGGATGCACGGGTGTCTGCAAGGGGGTGAACATCAATATTCAAGGGGCTCAAATACAACAAGACCTATACTTATTTGAACATGGAAGTGCAGATGTTGTGCTTGGGCTCGAATGGTCGACACAATTGGGGGAAATCAAGGCAAATTTCAAAGAATTGACCCTCAAATATGGGGAAAAAGGAAAGGAGACAGTGATCAAGGGGGACCCTTCGTGTGTTAGGAATGAAACTTCCTATAAGTCCATCAATAAAGCTCTCAGTGACCAAGGTCAGGGCTTTTATGTGAAAGCATCCAAAACTGAAACAGAGGGTGACACAGAGCAGTGGCAGGAGCTGCACGAATTGCTATCCGAATTTGAGGACATTTTTTGTAATCCCAAGGAACTCCCACCTGCCCGACCAATAGATCATGCTATTCATCTCAAAGCTGGGAGTACAGTACCAAACATTTGTCCTTACAGGTATCCTCATTACTAAAAATCTGAAATAGAAGAGCTAGTTGCTGAGTTATTTGAAAATGGCATGATTAGATATAGTACTAGCCCCTATTCTAATCCTGTAATCTTAGTTAAAAAAAAAAGATGGAAGTTGGCGTGTATGTGTTGATTATAGGGCGTTGAATAAAATCACCATACCAGATAAATTCCCAATGCCTATGGTGGATGAGTTATAAGATGAATTAGGAGGATCCCAGGTTTACTCTAAACTGGATTTGAAATCTAGTTACCATCAGATTAGGATGAGGGAAGAAGATATCCCTAAAACGGCTTTTCGAACACATGAGGGGCATTATGAATATTTGGTGATGCCCTTTGGGCTAACCAATGACCCATCTACTTTCCAAGCTTTAATGAACGATATTCTAAGGCCATTTTTAAGGAAATTTGCTTTAGTTTTTTTTTGATGATATATTAGTGTACAGCCAAAGTCAAAAGGAACACATTGACCATTTGAGAGCTATTCTGACTGTTGAAACAGAATAGTTTAGTGGCAAACAAAAAAAAATGCAGTTTTGGCAGGAGACAGATTGAATACTTTGGCCACTGTGTTTCTGCAGCAGGGGTTCAAGCTGACCCAGAAAAAATCAAGGCCATGGTGTCTTGGCCTAGTCCAAACAACATTAAGGGGCTAAGAGGGTTCCTAGGACTAACCGGCTACTATAGGAGGTTTGTCAAGGACTATGGGAAATTTGCCAAACCTCTTACTGAACGTTTGAAGAAGGATGGTTTCATATGGGATGAGGAGGCCGAGACTTCTTTTCAGCTGTTAAAAAAATTGATGAGCTCTTTACCTGTATTGGCATTACCAGATTTTAATAAAATGTTTATTGTCACCACTGATGCTTCTGGGAAAGGTGTTGGGGTTGTTTTGATGAAAGATAACAAACCCATTGCATACCTTAGCCAAGGGTTCTCTCTCTCCGTGCCCAAGCTAAGTCTATATATGAAAAGGAATTGATGGCAATAGTCTTTGCGGTGCAAAAATGGAGGCACTATTTGATGGGAAGACATTTTATCATTAAGACTGATTAGCGCAGCCTGAAGTTTCTCACAGAACAACAAGTTTTGAGTGAAGATCAACAAAAATGGATCTCCAAATTAACGGGCTTTGATTTTGAGATTCAATATCATCCTGGGAAAGAAAATGTGGTGGCTAATGCCCTGTCTAGACAAATGTTTTTTGGGGTGTTATCTAAAATTCAATGGGCTGAGTTTGAGGCATTGGAGGCAGAAATTCAACAGGATCCTAAACTCAAAGGCATCCTACAAGATTTATTCATTACATCCGATGCTCATGAAGGTTTTAAGATAAGGGAGGGGAAGTTATTTTTCCATGACCGATTAGTGTTGCCCAAGGGATCAAAATTTATTGGTCCCCTACTGCAAGAGTATCATGATACGGGTATGGGAGGACGTTCAGGTTACTTCCGGACTTTTAAAAGACTAGAGGGTGTCGTTTATTGGGAGGGGATGAGAAAGGATATCAAAGATTATGTGGCTGGGTGTGAAATATGTCAGCAATGCAAGACTCAAAATTTAAACCCAGCGGGCTTGCTGCAGCCGTTACCTGTTCCTTCACGGGTTTGGGAGGACATCTCACTTGACTTTATTGGTGGATTGCCTAAAGCAATGGGGTTGGATACAATATTAGTGGTTGTTGATCACTTTACAAAATATGCTCATTTCCTTCCATTAAAGCACCCGTATACAGCCGTGGATGTTGCTGGGTTGTTCATCAAGGAGATAGTTAAACTCCATGATTTCCCTACTACCATTACTTCTGACAGAGACCGTGTATTTTTGAGTAATTTTTGGGCTGAAATTTTCAAAAGTGCTGGCACCAAGTTACATTATAGCACCGCTTATCACCCACAAACTAATAGGCAAACGAAGGTAGTTAACCGGTGTTTGGAGGCTTATCTCCGGTGTTTTTGCTGCACTAAACCTAAACAGTGGCCTGCTTGGATACATTAGGCAGAATTTTGGTATAATACAACGTTTAAGGATGCTATGGGTATGACTCCTTTTAAAGGATTATATGGCAGGGACCCCCCTACCCTTTTTAAATGTGGCACCTTCATACCTGCCATTGATGCTGTTTCTCAGTCACTTCAAGAGAGAGATCTTATTCTGCATGATTTACAACATCACCTTCTCAACGCTCAAGATCGTATGAGACACTTGCAAATCAGCATCGCAGGGAATTGGAATTTACAGTGGGTGATTGGGTTTATCTCAAGCTGCAACTGTATCGCCTCAAAACCATTGCAAGGAAGATCAATGAGAAAATCAGTCCACAGTTTTATGGACCTTACCAAGTTTTGGAACGCATTGGTGAGACGGCTTACCGTTTGCTGCTTCCAAAAGAGTGTAAAGTTCATCCTGTTTTCCATATAAGCCTTCTCAAAAAAGCTATCAAGACAAGTTCCACAGTCCAGCCACTACCAAGCATTTTAAATGCCGATTGGGAACTGCTCTTGGAGCCTGAAGCACTGCTGAATGTGAGACGATCAGTACAGGGGCATATTCAAGTGCTTATTCGTTGGAGACATTTTCCTGAGTTTGAAAGCTCTTGGGAAGATTTTGAAGTCATCAACCTTCAATTCCCTCAGTTCAACCTTGAGGACAAGATTCTTCAAATGGGGGGAAGTATTGATACAATTCAAATCAAACGATACAAAAGGGATAAAGAGAGGAAGGTGTGGGCTCAAGCCCAAGCCCAAGCCCAAAAGACTCAATCTGTTGATAAGCTGATAGCCCAATCAAGTAAACAAGCATGCAAGGCAATAGAGTTGCCACGTCAGCAAGAGAGTATCCAAAATACCCCGTAACAGAATGGGGAGCGTGGGGATGCATGGAAGGCAGTTATAAAGGGAAGAAGGGAAGAGGAGAAGGGGAGAAGAATCTGGTAAAGGCCCTTATTGAGATTGGGAGAGTGTGTAACCTCTATAATTGTTGCACAATTATCTTTAGCTTATTGTTGTTTACTTTTCAGTGAAATCTCTGTAATGAAGTGAAGCTTGACTCCATAGTTGAGTAAGCTGAGTTATTGTAATTTCCTTTTAATCAATATATAAGAAGAAAACTGATGTTGTTCAGGAAAATCTTTACTGTTTGTTATAATTGTTGATAAATGGAAAGAGGTCTGTATCACTTTCCTTCCCAGCCCAAATCACAGGCTATAATCCAGAGAGACAGATAATTTAATGAATGTAAAATAAAAGAGAATTCACCCACTCACATCTATGCCAAGGACTCTGTTGACACCGTACATGTAAGAAAGACCACAGACAATTTCCCTTATGACAGTGTTGAGGCCAGGGCAGAGACCACCACACGTAACGATGCAAGCATGCACTTGATCCGAGTTAAAATATACCTGAACAGCATATCATTAGGCGCAGGTAAGCTAAATCAAAATTGTTCATAGATTCTTAACAGTATATGTACAGACAAGAAGAAAAATAACCTTTTGTCGTGGTCCTGCACGTCTAAAATGTACACCTCTTGGACCATCCTTGTGAACAACAACCTATGGAAAGGCCATATAAAAGTTTATACACCAATGCACCTTGCGAATGTTGATAAATAAGAAATAAGTGCAGTGTTTTTTATTTATATTTTCTTTCCCCTTCTTCTACATTGGAAAAAGAAAAAAAACGATTCAGCTTATTCTTTCTATTATTGAGAATCAATGAAGTATTACAAATACATGGAAAGAGTGTACAGTTCCCCCTACTCGTCCCCTAAACACAGTGCAAACAAAGTAAAGTAATTGATATTTGTTAGATCAGGTAACGCAAAAGAATGCATCGAGATGGATGAGATGAAGACAGAACCTTCTGAGGAACGGTGTCGTCCATGTGCACAAAATACTGCCTGAGGAATCAAAAAACAGAGAATCAATATTTCGAACAGAACACACTCCATACTCAGATCACAATCACAAAACTGAATACAATGATTCACTTACTTAACAACCGAGTAAGCTGGATTTGATCGCAGCGGATTTGGATATGTCTGCAAACAAAACCAAGTATTACACAAACGAAACGCAAATGAATACGATGCAGTTCGCAAATGTCACCGAAAAATTCCAAGAGAGAGAGAGGGAGATACAGGAAGGTTTGGAATATAGTCGGAGAAGTGAGGAACATCTTCGAGTATGTAACCACACTCCCCTAGGACAATCTTCATCTGCGAATCAGAATCGCTGGACGCCATTGCTCTCTTCTATGGATTCTTCGCAATTTCACCGTTATATATCTTTCTTTCCAGATTTTTTGTTTTTGGGCTTCGGAGTGAGCGACGAAGCAGAAAGAGAGAAAGAGAGTAGAAAGAGTGAGAAAACAAAGAGAACGCTTAGTTATAAGGCGAAGTGGTTTTGTTGCACGATGCGCACGCACCAACTAGAATCTTAATGCTGATAGGTCACGGTAGATCTGGACCGTCCGTCCTTGATGAAGTGGAACGATCGCTATTGAAAGTCTTTGTGTAAAAGAGAAGAATGCTTCTGGAATCCAAATGACTCATTTTACCAGACACCAGGTATAGGGTGGACACAGAAAACCGGTGGCGCGGTTTTACCGCTGCTCTCGTGCTGCCCCTGATTTCGGACACCACCTTTTGCTTATATTTTTTCTTAATTATTATTTATTTTTAGCTTTTCTATTTTTATAAAAAAAATTATTATAAAAAACGTTTTGTTATAATAAACCAAAAAAAAAAACCTAAAAGTTTCAATAGGATTTTTTTAAAGATATATACTAATTTTTTAAAGTTTCCATATTTATTTTCGAGTTTTAATTTTATTATAAATTTTATTTATTAATTTTATTTTTTTACCTTAATAATTCATTTTACTTTTCTAAAACCCTCAAATAATCATTAAATAATTTTAAATTTTACTTTTTAAATTTTTTTTATTTTAGTTTAAAAGTAATTTTTAACTTAAAAATATATTAAACATGCATATCTTACTTATTTATTTTCAATAGCGTTAGATTAGAATTTTAATTAGTTTTTATTCTTTATCTCTTGGTTCTGGTTCAATAATATTGGAGATGAAAAAATAGAATAGGTATGAAAAAAATAAAAAAATTGTATGTCATTTTAAAGGATATAAATTTGTGTCATTTTAAGTAAGAGAAAAAGATAGATCATGAAAAGAGAGTGGATAAAAAAAATAAAAGTGTGAGTTCCACCTTTTTGTGAGAGTGAAATGATATAAGTTGTGTCATCTGAAAGGACAAATATTTTTCTAAAAAATAAGATAGAATATTTTATTCCTTTATTTTAAAATAAAATCAGTTCATATTTTATAACTTTATTTATAAATTTGTCGGCATTAATCCATTTAAGATATGGGTTCTCAAGTAACTATTTTCATGGATTGTTTCGTTCAAGCTTTGAAAAGGTTGCCAGGTGCCTAGAAGAGAACTAGTAATCGCAGATTCGCAGCAAAATGCAAATTTATAAGAAGGTAAAAAAAAATTTGGGGGTGAAATTAAGTAATTTCTTTTGTTTAAGAGATTACTCAAAAAAAAAAAAAAAAAAAAAAGCTGTCATTCACTGGATACGACTACAACATGTCGTTCTATAAATAGAAGCAGCATTAATAAATTCCATTTATAAGATGGAATAGATTCATTTAATCAAATAACTTTATAAATTTTGAACAAAAGTATCATTATATAAATTCAGGCAAGCCAAACGATTTTCCATGAATTTAGACCGAATTTTGACGTGAAGAAAGGCTTTGTCAGGAAGAAAGTGCGTGTGCTTGAAGTCAACCTGATCAAGCGGCAATGGAATCCCATTGTAGCTGAGGGACATGTGGGTCACGCACAAAAAATGTTTGCTGATTGCTTCTCCTGCTGAAGAGCAGAAGATGTTCAGGACTAGTCAATGTACAAACTGGTGATGATTATTTTTATTCTTTGCAATTGATTTATGAGAATTAATTTTTTTTATATTACTGGTGATAAAATTGATTTCCTGCAGATACATATATATGTGGCTATCACTTCAAAGAAAAAAAAAATTCAAATTTCAAATTCTCTGAAAGAATACTGTTTATGATTCCTGCAGATAACTCATTTCCGTTGATTTATTCGACAAATGCTTTAGTTAAAGATAATTTAAGACAGTTTTAATTTTGTGAGAAAACTAGACAATCTTAATCATAAAAAGTTAAGAGTAAACACCATTTTTTATATTATATAATAAAAAATTATAAACGTATTTCAATATAAATAGGCGGTATTGTTGAGAACGGCAACGCATATGGTGTCTTCTTAATCTCTGGGGGATTCAGATTCACAACAAATAACGTTTTTGAACTGTTTGTTGTTTCTAGAGCCGAAGATATATCCCTCAAGGGTATAATATGTCAATTTAGGAGTACTTTTTAGTGGCACAAGAACATATTTATAAATTTTTTATTTACAAACTATACTATATTTTCGAGAGTAGATTCGGTTAGGAATGTATTCCCCGTGTGATATGTAAAAATTTATAAATAAAAAATTTGTAAATATAACCTATTCTGTAAGACTTTGATTGAGTTTTCAAGATACTATATCTCAAAAGGAGAGTGTGTAAAGATCTATGTTGGCTTTATATTTTAGTAGAGTAATCACTCATGAAAGTGAATAGATTAGATCTGCCCTTTAAATGGAAGAAGGGATATTTAGAGAGAATAGATGATTCTCTAAGCATGAGATATATCTCAAAAGAAGAGTGTGTAAATGGCTATGCTAGCTCTATATTTTAATAGAGTAACCGTTCATGAAAGTGAATAGATTAGATCTGCCCTTTAAATGGACTTTACCACATGTGTCCAACCTTGTCTTTGAAGGTAGATTGTGTCGACTGTCATTGTACAGCGGATAATAGTGGAAGAATAAGGAAAATTTCCCATAATGTGCATGTCCTTTAAAATATTATAAATGTGAACTATTAAGATTGAGTTCGACTTGCTGGGTGTATAAAGTGGGCAGGCATAATAGTTTTCATTCCTCTATTTCTAAGATTCTCATCGACAAAAGGATTGATTTAATTTTTATTTTGTTTTTGTAATAGAATGATTTGATTTTTATTTACTTGGTTTTCATGAATTTTACCGTTTGACTTTTTCTTAATACACAGCAGGTGTGCGTGCTGGATTCAAGAGAAAAATTTATTATGCTCCCGTCCCATTATTTTTTCAGTGGTCCTTTATTATAGAAATTTTTCTTCCACTTTTACTCCTTCTTTTTTGATTTTTTTTTTCTCAATTCCTACTTTTTTTCCATTTTGAGAGAGGATCACTGTACTCTCGTCCCACCAAATACTCTCTCGGATTCAAGGCAGCTTGCATTGCATGTGTGGCCAGTACTGTGCCCACTGTACGTAATTTTTCAGATTGTTAAGAACTTGTGTTACATATAATGTGCTAAATATTTCTATTTTTTAATGAAAACAAAATATTTATGTTAATTTCTCTGGGTGCAACTTTTTGTTGTTATAAAGTTCAATATTGCAACTATAAAAAAAGCTCAATATTTTCCTTAACCCGAAAAAAAAAGGTCCCTTTTTTCACTGTTCTCTGGGTATTTAAGTCTGCATGAATATGTAATAGAAAATCATATATAGACGCTGAGTCCAATTAAGTCTGCAACTTTGGAAGTAATTTTACTCCAATTTTTGGCATCAAGGCTGTATGGAATTAGCACTTTAAGGTGTGCCATGACATGAGTTCATGACGGTAAGGAAGGTCATTCTCTATTTTCCCTCCCTTGAATTAGAGTTAAGACATAAGCAATTCAAAGAGTCTAAAATGTTTTTAAAATTCACAGTTGGCTGCAGCTCGCATGATTCCGTGGGCAAAGGCAAACATCAATTATACTGGTCAGACACTTATCATATCATATCTGCTGGTAAGATCTCAACTTAAATTTATGTCACAAGATATTTTCAGTCTTGTTTTATCCTAGTATCAGAGAACCAAAAATCTAATACAAGAATAACTATGCAATCTAGTAGGAATGAAAATAAATCTCTTTTTGGGTAAGTTCTGTGCTTTGTTATCTGTTATTAGCTTGGAAGCAAGAAGCAATAAATCTTGGTAGCAGCGTATTCACCAATACATATGTTTATTAGTATCAATTATGTACTTAAAAAGGGGTGGGATATACTTATTATTAAAAAAGTTTACCACCTTTACAACCAACCTAATCACCGTTGATTTTCGTCAATCTAACGGTTATAATTTCTTAGATTTATTGAAAATTAATAATTAATTAATAAATAGACCCAATAATTTTCAAAAAATTATAACCGTTAGATTGACGAAAATCAACGGTGATTAGGTTAATTGTAAAGGTGGTAAACTTTTTTGGCAGTAAGTATATCATTCCCCCTTAAAAAGATTGAGAGAGTTATATTTACAAACTTTTTGTTTACAAACTACACTATGTTCTCTCGGGAGAACACTAAGTTACAAAAATTTACAAAAACTTTTTGGTTGATTAGTATTCTTCCGGGAGTACATAGTGTAATTTACAAAAAATTATAAAAAAAATTGTAAACAGATCATTCCCCTAAAAAGATTGCCTCAATCCCAAAATTAATTAAAGATGGAATTGTGCTCATTTGGTGCTATTTAAATACTCTTAAATAAAATGCTTAACTTATTTATTTCCTTTAGTTTGCCTCTCTTGCCAAATAGTGTTTGAATAAATACTAAGTCTGACATTGGACTCTGGTTGTTGTACAACATCCACTGCTGCATTCTTCATCGCCGCTGATAAAACTATACTGTCGTATGCAAGAAAAAATTCCCAGCTCGAAGAGTCTTTGAAACTGTTAGAAATATATCTTTTGTATATCTGTAATTAGTGTTTTCCTTATTTCATTAGGGTTTGTATTAGGTCTATTTGTATTAGGTTTGGGCTTAGCCCATTAGTATGTCTATATATTGTACATCCTTCATCAGTTCAATACATACAGTTTATTTCAATGTTCCTTTCTTTTCTTGTTATTTAACATGGTGTCAGAGCCTCGTATCCCGGCTTCGAACCTCACCGCCCCCCACTTTCTTTGTAGTGAAATTAAAACTAGTTTTGTACCCTCTAATGAGCAATTAGCAGATGTATTTACAAAATCTTTGAGGGGTCCTCAAATAGAGTTTATATGTAACAAGCTTGGTGCATATGACCTATACGCTCCAGCTTGAGGGGGAGTGTTAGAAATATATCTTTTGTATATCTGTAATTAGTATTTTCCTTATTTCATTAGGGTTTGTATTAGGTATATTTGTATTAGGTTTGGGCTTAGCCCATTAGTATGTCTATATATTGTACATCCTTCATCAGTTCAATACATACAGTTTATTTCAATGTTCTTGACATGGAGAATTAAGAAATTGACTGACAACACTAACTGCAAATGAAATATCAAGTCGAGTGACTGTGAGGTAGTCCAATCTTCTATACTGCTCAGGATCTGGAAAGGGCTCCCCCTGATTTGGTAGAAGTTTGATACTTGGATCCATAGGAGTATCAACAGACTTCGAATTTAACAAAGCAATTTCTTCAAGA